GATGAAGTACACTGCTGAGGGGAGCAGCGGGTGGGTCAGGAGAGGTCTGCCACACTATGTGGTCACCTCCGGGGCAGGCGGGAATCGAACTCATGCGGAAGCAGCTCCAGATTCTCAGTGTTGTGCTTTAACCCACTGCGCCACCAGGGAGGGCCTCTTCTTGTTTTTTAATGCAATGATCTCTCCATTAAAAAAGAAGCAAAATTTATTTTTAAAAATTCAATAAGCATGCTTTCTTTTTAATTATCTGCTGAATGCCCCAAGGCATTTCAACTCTAGAATTTCCCACAGACTGGATTTTGCTGATTGTAAACTCATGGTACAGATCAATATATTCCTCCATTCTCTATACTTCCTTGCAAAATGGCAGTGAGTTCCAAAGGGTTTCTCAAACTCAAATTTAATCCATTTGGCACAACTGTAGTTAACATTGTGTTCTTTCATTGCAAGAAATGTGTCTGGTAGCTTCTTTTCTGGTAATATTATCATTTGTTGATGTTTAAAATTTAGATTTATTAATCCTTTGGATTAATGTGACATGATTACATTCTATTCCTATAATTTCCTTTTCAGTTATTATTAGAAATGTTCTTGTCAAGACACAATTACCTGTACTAGCCTATTATCCCATATACTTATGAGAGAGGTATAACAAATACTTGATTTTTTTTCTATAGTCCAGTTTTCAAGAAACTGAACTGATTTCCTATTGATATCTAAATGTGATTAATATTTTTTAATATCATTATTAATGTATGGATTTGAACTTAATTCATGGGAATCAACCCATTGCTAATATACTAATTTAAGTTTTATTAAACTAACTTACTTAATATACTAACTTAAGGTTTATAAAACTTTTCCATCTTTTGCTAATGGAAGGTTCTTAAAATCATCTCCTAAATCATTTCATTAAAGACTGACATGCTAACATTTTCAACCATGACTATGAAATTGTCTATTTCTTACTTTAATTCTGTTGACTTTTGCCTCATTATTTTGAAGTGCTATTAGCACATATATCATTGTTATTTTCATGTTTTTCTTTATTAATCTAAAAAGCCATCTGTTGCTAATTTGCTATCTCTGATAATACTCATTATCTTAAAACCTAATTAATATGAAATTAGTATAGTCACTCTAACATCTTTACTCATCTGTTTTTATATTCTAATTTTTCGACAATTTTCTATTAAACTTAAGGCATTATCTCTTGTACTAATTTGTTGCTAAGTTCTCTCAGTTTAGCTTCATTTCTGAAATTCTTTCACTGAGTTAAAAAAAATTTCTGGACTCTTCAAATTTTTGTTTATGTTTGTCATTTTGTGTCTTTTAATGTCTTGCAGCACTATTTGTAATAATATTTTATAAAATAAACTCTGCTATTCCTTTTTTCTGTATAAATATTATTCTATTTTTCATTATAATTTTGGATAGGAATTTATATTGATTCTTTGTGTTGCACATTTTTATGTAAAACTAGTTTATTCTGAGCCTTAGCATATGCCAGGTTTCTTTAACAGATATTCTCTTCAAAAATATTTTGTTCAGATTTTCTCTCTTTTTCCTTTGTTGTGTCAGCTTGGTTCTTTAATTTCCTACCTCGATAGTGTGCTGATGCAGTCTACATTTAATTTGACTCCCAGTAGTTTCACTTCTATATTGGTATTTTATAGAGTTCTAAGGCACTAACACTATTTCATTTCCTTAGCACCTCTCACTTTTGGTGTCCTGCACTCCTCTACTAGAAAGCAAAAACCTCCCCTAATTTCAGCTGTTGTTCTCAATTGGCCCACCAAGGTTTCCGGTTAGTACCCACTGGCTCATTTGTGGTTCTTCAGTTCTCGTGTTTGTCACACACCACATTACTGCTATCTGTTCCTTCCCATTTCTAGATGAGTCATGTCAGTGGTTTATCCCACTTGCTTTACCGAAAGTGGTTCTTGGAGAAAACCTGTCACTAAATTTTGTTGTAAACTTAGTGAGTTTGGGCTTTGGCTTATGTGGATAATCTGGAGAGATTCAAAAAATAAGCTGTTGTCATAAAGACTACTTCCAACAGTCTTGTTTATAATTAAGCACTTTCCAGACCTGTCAGATGTAGAAGAGACCACAGATGGACTGTGTCCACCAATAAAAGAAAACAAGAAAACATATAAGTAAAAACTACAGTTACTGAATAATCAAGGATTTAAAATTTATCAGATGAATTAACAACTTCTGACTTCACTCAAAACAGTAGAAATGGGCAACATTTTCAAACCATGCTTCACATGAAGTTAACATCAATATGACACTTCTAGGATTCTAGTGAATGCAATTTAAGAAATATGGCTTGAGGAAAAGTATTCACCACCCTGCCTTTAAAGTGGTACAAAAGGAAGGATGCAGATACAGATATGTATAGGGTTAATGAGGAAGAAATATAACTGCTGAGAAAACTCACTTTATACACCACTAGCCCAAGTAATAATTGTCATTTTAGAGTGGTTAAAATATCTTCTCATTTACTTACCTTATACCAAGTGATGGTTGGTTTGACATTGGAAGGAAAAAATCCATCTACATTTGGGCAAGAGATCTTCTGGACACCATATTCTAGATATATTCTATGTACTGGGAGTTTCATGGGGGACCTGAAGCAGTTATCTTTTTGAACAACTTCCAGAGGAAATGCAACTTTACTGCAGTATGTGGTGTTCCTATAATGAGAAATATGCAATGAATGGACAGTCTTATTTTCATTTGATTTAATGGAGCAAACACATTAAAATAAACTAAGTGGAGCCATTCTATGCTTTGAGACTGCCTTTATATGTGTAAATTCATGTAAAAATTAAAGGCTGAGTTATTGCCTATACCACAGGATGTCACAAACTAAAAATGACAGTGAACTATTATTGATATATAAATATTTTTACGTATTTCTAAACACATGTGTGTAAGCATATGTATGCATGTGTATATCTATACATATATATATATATACACACACATATATGTATACTTTACCAAAGGAAATCATAGTACAATCAGATTTATTGTAAATATATACATAAACATACATATATATGTGAATTCACACATGATTTTGAATTGGTGAATATGACATTGTGTCTACACAAACACTCCTGTGTCATGATGTGATATAAGTATATATATGTTTATCCTTAAAACAGCCTCAAGGGCCCTTCCTGATGGCGTAGAGGCTAAAGCACAGCACTAAGAAGCTAAAGCCACTTCCACATGAGTTCGATCCCTCCCCTGCCCTGGAGGTGATCCACATGGCATGGCAGACCTCTCCTGACCCGCCCACTGCTCCCTTCATCAGTGTACTTCAACGATCTACCTGTTCTGCTCCCCACTCTGTCTCTGGTGAATCCTCTCACTGCCCTGCACCTCTGGCCTGTACCCCAGTTCTGTATGCACAAATAAATAAATCTTAAAAAAAAAAGAAAGAAAAAGAAACAGTCTCAATAGCATTGGTGAGACAAAGGTGAGAATAACCAAATAACTATTTAGTTACAATGGTATAAAATTTTTTGAAAATGTTTCCAGAGGTATTACAAGTCTATATTTTTGTCTCAGTAACTCTACTTTTGGAAATTTCCTTCTTATGATGGAAGTATGAAAAAGATGAAATGAAGCGGGCACATTATCAAAAATGCACATCCAGTGCTACATTAACAAGAAAACATTGGGATCGATGGAAAAATCTATAAAAGGAAGAAAGTGAACAAAATCATGTGACAGTCACTCAGGGATGTACGTATCTGTTAAAAAATGCAAAAATGCAGGCCCTCCCTGGTGGCGCAGCGGGTTAAAGCACAGAACTGAGAATCTAAAGCCGCTTCCGCATGAGTTCGATTCCCGCCTGCCCTGGAGGTGACCACATGGCGCGGCAGACCTCTCCTGACCCGCCCGCTGCTCCCCTCAGCAGTGTACTTCGTGGATCTGCCTGTTCTGCTCCCCACTCTGTCCTTGGTGAAGCCTCTCACCTTCTGCATCTCTGGCCTGTACCCCAGTTCTGTACGAATAAATAAATAATAAAAAAAACCACAAAAATGCTTATAAACACATAAAACTACTTAGGATGACTGGTGGATATTTCTATTTTAGAGTTAGCACAGATTGTTTTATCTATTAGGGGGCTCTTCTATCCCCTCACATTTCACACCAAGGTCTTCTGTGTCACCCTCAAGCCACCCAACATCTAAATTATATTTCTAATTCTCTAGTGCCCTGGACATTCCTTAATTGAATTTTAAGCAAAGATATGGCCATGTGTGTTTTCTTTTATTTCTTGAATCTAGTACAGTGCCCATACTTTAAAAGGTGCTGAATAAATATTTGTTAAATTAATGTAATGGATGTAAAACATATATATATTTCATTTATATATGACAACAACAAAGGAAACATAGATAATAAAAGTAACTGGTTTTTTTAGGGTATAAATTCAATGGGTCATTCACTGTCTACCCTTTTCTTTGGTGATCTCTTTTTTATCAAGTACAGATAATCACTTATGAATTAAAAATGAATTCAGTGGAAGTTATCCCCACATTCTACATTTTCTTTATAGCTATATAAGATAGGCAGACAGGTACACAGAAGTTAGGACAATCCAGAAATGGATAAGTTACATTAAAGGTACACTCAGACCTTAATAATCATGTAGCTTTGCTTTAGAAGTATCAAAGAAGTTTCAGAAAGTTTCCAAAAAGACTTTAAACAAGTATTCAGTTGCCACAGAAAATGCCAAAGAGATACTAAGCACTAGAATATATTGTAGCAGAGGTGCAGGTCATAAAGAAAACTGAGGACCCCTTGCTGGTTTTTTGCTGATATCCATTTAGCAGATGTAAATGACCAGCAGTTGTTAAGAGTGAAAGGGAACTTGAACAGCAGGTAGGCCGCCCTTTTCATTGTGCAGATATAGACACCAAAGCTCTTAGTTGTAAACATGACTTGTTTAAAATCACCAGCTAAATGGTGTCAGAGCAGGGATGATGGCCTTGTTTTGTCTTTTCAATTCAGTGTTCCTTTCATTATAAAATGTTCTGACTCTCCTAAAAGGTATCCTACTAAATAAACAATGGACACATGAGCACTTCAGGTCCTTGGACATAGCAGTTAAGAGTCCATTCCAATAAGATTCAAGTGTCAGAAGAAAGCCTCTGAAAGGCCTTTTAGAGGTTACATAGGACTCCTAAAGTCATGGTGATCAAAATTCTTTACTGGGACAATAAAGCCCTTTTCCACTTAACCATAAAACAGCTTGTATTTATCAAAATATATTCATAATTCCCCATCAGAGAACAGTTAGCATATGTAAGACAAGGGAACATTCAGAAGTTTTAGGATTACCCATTTTTAAGTTATGTTATTCTAACCTGTTGCATGGTTAGGTCATGTTACTCAGCCCTACTGTTATGTACTGTAGACTCATTTTCACAGGTTGATGATTTAACCTTCATATTTTATAATTGACTGCATTTGGGGATAGATGTTGGAAAAATAATGAAGTCATGGGGGTGGAGCCTAATTAAAAATGACTGCTGTTCTTGTCACAGGTAGAGATGAGGACACAGAAGACACAGAAGATAACCAAAAGGAGACATAAAGAGAAGATGGCCATCTAGAAAGCAAGGAGAAATGAAAGAAACCAATACTGTCAAAACCTTGATTTTGGCAATTTGCTTCCAGAGTCATAACAAAGCACATTTTTGTTGTTTATCACCTAGTCTTTGATATTTTGGTATTACAGCCTAAAAGCTAAAAGAGAACTGGAGGGGACGGTGGTTCCTCTAAACATTAATCTGTTGTAAAATAAATTAAGTATAACATGGAATAAAATGCAGAATCTGGAATAACTTTAAAGGAAAAAAAGTAAATTTGAAAGAAAGTTTATACTAATGGGGTATTACATTCTTGGATTCCTAGGAGTTTGGTGTCCATATGTTTCTTAGGTGAACTTTAGTGTAAAAATTTGAAGTGCATTGTTCTGACTACATTTAGTACCTCCTAGGTAGTCTATTTCTAGGAAAGCATACTGAATCTTTGGTTCTGTGCTAGGCACTTTGAAAGGTTCCAAGAATGCGAGCTATGAATGTGGTTTCATTAATGCTTTATTGATTGTCTCGGAATATAGATATCTCCATGTGGGGCAAAGGTGCAGGCAAATTTTAATATCAGGGAACGAAGAAGAAGAAATTAAAAAAGCCCCACATACAGATAGTGTGATAGATATTAGGATTTGAAAAGAAATCACCTATGGAGAATGTTCTTAAGAACCCAATAATTTTCTCTGCACACAACTTTCAGTTAACCTTACTAAGTCACAAAGGAGAAGTGTAACTCTTTCTAAACGTTTCCTTCTCATTTGCAACTTCATAGTACACAGTACATAGTACTTCCTTCGCGGTACTTTCCTGGACGAAGGCCCAGGAATGAAAAGGAAAGGAGAAAGTCACTGCCAAGAGTCAGGCTACCTTAACATGCAAGTATAGTTGCCTGTGTCATTGAGGAGGGTGGGCCGGAACCAAAGCACATCTTTCTCCTTACTAATGCGGTTCTCAGGGAGACGGAAGTTAATTGGCTCCTCCAGGTCTCGGTCCTGCCTTGTCCAATACCAGATCAGAGTAAGGCCAGCTGAATGGGCTGTGCTGTAGTTATATTTCAGGAAGTGTTCAAAGAGTGGGCATTTGATGCGTGCTGGCTCATCTTCAAACACTTGGATCTGCCTCATGGTATCTAGTCCCCAGTCATCACAGCGTTCTGGAACAAGCAAAAAGAAAGAAAGGACAAATGAGTCACCTCACCTCATGTGCAAGGTTTCCAGAGAACACACCTTCTCTTTAGGCTGCCCGATCTTTCCCAGGAACCCCTGCTCTAGTCAACTTCAATAGCCTCTCTAATAATTGTGTGGAGTAGGTGGTATGAAGAACTGACTTCCCCTCATTCCTTTATCAGCTTTGAACTATCTATTGTTAACAGTTTGATCCAAAAGCTAGATCTTGTTGAAACCCATGAAGTATGGGATAGAATCTCATCTGATAAAGAAGTCATGTGCCGTTTCACTTTGTTGGATTCAGAGAAAGTTCTAAGGAGAAAATGGTAACTGAAGTGATAAACCTCAAAGACTCTTGTTGTTCCAAGGGTGTCCTCACTTGGGAGCTAGATTTGTAGTGCCTAATAGGAACCGAAAGTGAACCAGACATATTGTTTCAGATGTCCTCCATGTCACATTAATGAAATAAATGCAGGAAAATTAATGTTAACATTTTATAAGACTTGATATAGCTAAAATAACCCCAAATTTTTAGTTATTTTGCATTTACATTCTTTTATGGGCACTAAATCTTAAAAATTCAATGTGTTTCACAAATACTGCACATCTAGATTTGGGGCTTGTCACATTCTCTGTCAACTACCCTACTGGACAGTAGCAGTGAAGACCTTAAAAGTGAAGAACTCACAGCAGTTCTCCCTGGGAACAAGGGTCCTGGAGTTTCAATGAATAGGAGTCAAATAAAATGTGTGATGACATTCATAATTTGGTTTTAATAATGAAAAATAATCACTTTCATACAGGAGGGGAAAAACAAACACAACAGTAAACGACTGTTTAAAAGAGTTATATCTGAATGGAAATACAAGATTTCATCTTACAAGGGCAAGGAGGAAGGTCAGGGATAATGAAGCCTTAAATGTTCACAATCAGGGCCCTCCCTGGTGGCGCAGCGGGTTAAAGCACAGCCCTGAAAACTAAAGCCACTTCCACATGAGATCGATTCCCGCCTGCCCCGGAGGAGACCACATGGCGTGGCAGACCTCTCCTGACCTGCCCGCTGCTCAGCAGTGTACTTCGTTGATCTGCCTGTTCTGCTCCCCACTCTGTCTCTAGTGAAGCCTCTCTCCGCCCCTGCACCGTTGGCCTGTACCCCAGTTCTGTATGCATAAAGAAATAAATCTTTAAAAAAAAAAGTTCACAATCATCCTAAAACAATTTTCTTACATGCATACATACATAAGCATATGTATATATATGTAAATCTATACTCTTCTTGACATTTTAGCTGACATCTAAAACTTTTCATGCTAGCTTTAATAGTTGGAAAGGATACTTAATGCCATTTTTGCAAATAATGCCATTTTAACATAAGATGTCTATGCCAACTTTTCAATACACCTGTAATACAGTGGAACAGTGACTTAATATATACAAGTTGATCTAAAAATAAGTAAATACACTTTTTTCTAATTGCTAAATTTATTCTGTTCTTTGTTCTCTTTGAACTTGTATTATTAATTCTATTATCATTATACATAATTTTTACTCTAATGGGATGTACTTTTATGTTTTGTAGTTTTTTTCCTTCAATTATAATTTTTCTAAGTGCTATTTTTTTTCCTACTGGAAAGAATTCTATTATGATTCATAGTACCAACCATTTAAATAATATATAGATTCAATTTTATAAGTAATTATTAAATGCACTTATGTATTTACTAATTAAATCTAAACATTAATCATATAAATATGAAATTTTATTGGAAATAATTTTAATAATTTAGATGGGCCATTTTTGAATGAGAGGAATTAGACATCAAATAAACTTATTTTACATATATGATATGTATGAAAGTACAGAGGACATTTGTCCCCATGTGTGAACAAAGACAACAGTCCTCTGCAAATCAGTACAATGAAATCTTCACCTTGATCTGGGACTTTTTAGCCTCCTGAACTACAAGAAATAAATGGTTGTCATTTAAGTCACCAAACCTGTGGTATTCACAGCCTTAACTGACTAAGGCACCTAGGAAAACTTACTAAGTAAAGGGAGTACAAATGAGACACCTCAACAGAAAACTGCACCCCTCTAGAAGCTCTACTGCCTGGCCTTGCTGTGACTTGCCAAAAATGCAAACACCAGCCCCATCTAATCACCTGAGCTAAGCTTATGTCAGAGGAACTGCCCAGGCAAGCTCTACCCTCATGGACTCATGGATGAGAATACATAAGCAATAAATAAAAGTTTTCTGACTGAAGTTTGTGGTTGTTTGCTAAGCAACATTTTGTGTTGGCAAATAAAACTGTCAGAGAAAAAAATAGCAGTGGCTAATTAAACAAAGTATAAAAGCTATAACATCATTCTTTGTAAAAGCAAAGATTTGCAGTTTTGACTTCCATAAAGATTTGTAAGTAGTAACAAAACCCTAAGTAAGGAGTAACTCTCTGGGAAATTTAACAAATGGGCTTCTCCAAGATTCAAAATATAATTACTACGCTTTCATTTAGAAATATCTTTTAAAACCATGTAATATATACAATATTTTTAGAAAACACTTAATTCTTTAAAAATATTTTTACTAAAACTGCCCAACTGCATAATTAGCTTTCAGTTTATAGCAATGAAACCATAGATGTTTAGATAAATATGTAATATGAATATATACCTTTACCTTTTCTGAAATTCCACTACAACTAAAGTAATTTTTCAAGACATAGCCTCAAAGAAAAGTAAGAACAAGAGAAAAGATAATAGCATCATCAATGGGGTATCCAGTGTAGTCCATTTTAAACGGATAAATGCTTAACCAACAAAGAAAGATGGTGAATAAACCAATCTACAAAGCACAATAATTAAAAAGGAGGAGGGAGGCTGAGAGGGAAAATTAAAACTGCAAGGGATGCTAAGAGGTAGGTTAATTTGCTCTCAGACTTTAAATAAAATGAAAAAAAAACTTATCAAATGTCTTTTCTTTTTAAATTATTTATTTAATTATGCATACAGACCCAGGATACAGTCCAGAGATGGTGAGAGGATTCATCAGAGGGAGAGTGGGAAGCAGGCAGATGGACAAAGTACACTGCTGAGGGGCAGTGTGTGAGACAGGAGAGGTCTGCAGAGCCATCTGGGGCCGGGATCGAACTCATGCTGAAATGGCAGCAGCTAGCTTGCAGTGCTGTGCTTTAATCGGTTGTGCCACCAGGGAGGGCCCCAAATTTCTTTTCTTTGAGGCTTGTGGCAGAGGAGTAATAGCAACAACATTGAGCTGGTCTCCAAGGCCAGCTGGGACCTAGAAAAAAAATAGCCAACCAGATGCAGGTCCCTCACAGAAAGTGCATCCTGGCCCTGCACTACAATTATAAACAAAGCCTTTCCTCACTGATTCGGCTAATTAAGGGACTCAGTCTGTCTCACAGTGGCTCCTAGTAGAATATGCTCCCTTCTTTGAACTTTGGCCCTTGCTTTTTTAAATTACCTAGTCTCCTTTATCTTCGAAAGATTGTAGAATTCAAGGAATGACAAATACATGGGACTGGTTTATAGAATGAGGATCTTCGGTCACCTCACTCACAGGGGTCCTGATAATTACTCTTATATCCTGTTAATGATGGGATTTTTTTGTCTGTTCAATCTCTTGAAGTCAAACATTCAACAACTGCATGTAACAACCTGTTCTAAATCTCTCTCTCTCTCAAAATTTCACCACTCATGCCTGTTGCTCCTCTCAGCAGGAAGGAGCTACAGAAGATTGAGACTATTGCCCATACCCCTTAAAGGCAAAGAGGATAAAAGGCCTCTCCAGTAAAACAAGAAGGGCCCTGCGACAGAGACTGAAGGACTCAAGGGCAGATCTTTGCTGTTTCCAATGATTTCATCAAGATGGTAAATATGAGGGTAAATAAACATAAAAGTTACTGGAGTCTCTGATAGGGGAAAAACATGGTAAACTGCAACTCCTCTCCCCCATCCAGTAATTCTGGATGAGCCAAATCCTAATTATTTAAACACTATCTTGGTTTAACCTCCAGGATCCTATTACGATTAAACAGGCCCTACTAAACACATATACATAAGTAATGTTAGCAGCCCACAACCCAAGATTCTGCTCACACTGTCTTTTTTTTTTTTTTTTGAGTGTACCATAATACTTGGAATAAAAACTTCACTTTTCTCTTACTCTGACCCCCAAATGAGTACTTTCTTGCACCAAAGTCAAGGATCAGCACAACAAAAGTCCCAAAGGAAAAGAAAAAAAAAGAAAGAAAAAAGAAAATTCTCAAATAATTCAAAGGAAGAATAAATCCCAGGTCTTGAGACTATCATCTTCTACAGCAAAATGACCTTTCAACTGACTCAGCACAGTTGGTAAAAAAAAAAGACTTATGCCACAAAAACATTTTAAAATCTGTGGGGAAAAAGAAGCTTCTATAAGATCTCAAAAAGTGAAAAATGGGGCAAAATGTTCACATGAAATAACAAGCAGTCATTATGGATTTGGATCTCTCAAAAATAAGATGGAAAACAAGAAGATAATGAGCCTGAAGGAAAATTATTTCTAATCTTTAATCTAAACCCAATTAAACATTCAAGTGTGTAAGTGACATATGCTTTTTATCAAGAAGCTTCAGAGGATTTGTTTTACCAAAGTAAGAGATAAAATCAGGAAAATATGGGATCCAGAAATATTTGATTCAATTCAAGAGAAAGGGGAAGGAATTCCCATAGCAATAAAGGCAATCTTAGGATAATAACTATGGCAGCACAAGTAGGTAACAAACCAGTACAAGTAGAATGGAATGGAAATTTCAGTAAAGACAAAAATATTGCAACTGATAAGGTTATCTGATAAGATTAGCACTGTGGAAAATTATACTGAAAGGTAATTGTGAAGTGTGGGAAAAGTTCCCAAAAAGCATAAAGTTAAGTATAGAAAACAAGGTAATTCAATTCCAAAAATAAAAGAAGCAAGCTAACAAAATC